CAATTTTATCCTTTTTATCAAATTTCTACTTGTGAGTCATGCTAATTTTGTTAGAATATTTTTTGGACAAAATGTATCTGATCTGGTAGACATTTTTGAACTAATTCATGCATCATGCTTGTTTAAACTATTGTGGAAAAGTTACCATAACTATAGATTTAATAATATAGAATATCTGTATAATTAGAGATTTTAATATGAAATTTAAGTTTAAATGATTTGAAAGGAATAGTAAATTCATTGCTAGTATACAAGAAAACCTGATATGATAAATTGTCAGAACTAACAATTTATATTTTCACAATTGGTCTGGTTAAAGCTTATTATTATCTAGTTAAGGAGATCGGTTAAATTGAGATTTCTGTCCAAATCCTTGACTTTCAAGAAACGTTTCCAAATCTCTTGACAACTCGCTCCATTATCACATCAATAAAATTCAGACAAGTATCAATGAAGCCTGACGATGTGACTATAATAAGGGGCTGAAATATTGCTAACCTATCTCTATAATCTATGATAATATAATAATATGAGGTAAATCTCTATAATCTAGAGAATAGAACTAGAGATGCTATAGGTGGTGGCTTGGTAAAAGATCACAGAATAACATTAAAGTGGCATACATATATTTGGCTGTCATTTTGATGTCTCCCCTCCCTTGAATTTTCTTTTGACTTTTTCTTGCGTGTCATGGCTTTGGTTACTCATGCTGGTGTTACGATTGCATGAACACGTGCCCACAACCTGTGCCGTGCAAGTGTGCATGTCTTGGCTGATTGCTTGGCCTTGATGGGCATTGGGGCTGTAGCACAATTCTGTTTATGGTCTAACATCCAGCTGTGAGACTCTGGATAAAGATCCAAAATGGAAATCCTTCCTTTTTTCCCTCCCTAGTCCAGAGGTCAAATGCTTATTGAGTTGGGATTGAACATCAGAAGTCTCCTAGTTAGCAACTAAGCAATCGTGAATCTTGGCTGCACTTTCAGTGACCAGTTATAGAATACTTCATACAAACTCACATTTACATAGAACCTTTCATGTCGGGATGACATCCAAAGATGCTTAAAAATATTGACTTGCTACGGGGATGGATGGGGGGGGGGGAATAGAACACATATTTCTGCTCATTTTGGGTGTCACATTCAAATAGTTTTTTCACCATTGCCATGCTAGAGATGGTGAACGACTACAGAAGTCACTTCATACCCGGTATTAAAGGAGCATTCTTTTCATGAGTGGATTCTTGGACCCTAAAGCCAATATTAGGCAAAATGTTTAACAAACACTCATGGCATATCCAGTTTATCATGTTTCAAATCTATTATTTCGTTGTGAGGAATGGAAAGAATGATAAACGCTGAAGTTTTTTAAATAATGGAAATTAAACTATGGCAAGATATAATGGAAAAGTAAAGGTAGGTCGTTTTATTTCTTTCTTAGAAAAATTGTAAATGGAGGTTTTTTTTAAAACAATTGTTTTCTGGTGCTGAGTCCTCCGCCAACATAGATTTAGATTCTGTGATGATCCATACTTTCTTCTTCCTCTCCCCCGCCTCGCTCACTCACTCTCACACTCTCACACTCACACCCTCTCTCTCTCTCTCTCCATGCCCTGCAATAGATGCAATTACATTTATGAAAACATAATTAGCCGGGGTGAGCCAGCTGTTAAGTAGAAGTGGTGTCATACAACACCTAGAGGTTTATTGAGTCACGTCTCGATACATTTAATGTTGCATTGGTTGAAACAACTGTTTCAATCTCGCAATTATATTATTATTATAATGATGAATGAGGTACAGACCAATGGCAGCTGGCAGTTGGATTCGGGTGATGTCATAAACTGCTCAGCCAGAATGATGTTTGAATTTTGAGACTGGATTTTGTTTGTAACCCCCTGGCAAGCACCTTGTATGTTTTGTTCGATGAATCTGTTTTATAAGAGATATTTTGAGATAATCACGGCCCCTTTTTGATATTGGAGTATAGTGACCATTAATTTAGGACTTTGCAAGATACCAAGCTGGGTTTTGCAGGGTTCTTTTGGATGGTGAAATATGGAATATTTCATCCAGTTGTAATCGATCTTAAAATCCGCAGGAGGTCTAATCAGGTGAAGTATCGTCTGTTGATACCAACAGTAAATCATTAATTTAGATTTGTTCAATAAATTATTTTAGTGGTGAACACCGTATGTAACGGGAGGAGCTGTTGTGACAGTCTATTGCGAGGATGAGCATTTTCAGTTGGTTTGTGCCACAAGACACTTTTTTTGTTGAAATCTAAGCAATGCTCACTTGTTACCGAGACTGCACGGGCATGGTGTTGCGCCCAGTTAATCCCCTTACCGTTGAGGATTGTCATTGTAGACAGTTTAGAATAGGAATCATTTAACTAATGGAATGTGGAATAAATTTGTTTCACAATATGGAAATTAAATGTTTTTTGCTACTATTTAGATACATTCTTGAGACCCTCACCTGAACTCCAAGGTATTGGCAGAAGTAAGATTGAATTAAGTTAACAAATTAAATTAAGTGGAAATATGCAGATGTAGAATTTTTCTTCCATGATTGAGGTATATATTTTTAAAGCAATAAATAAGTTACCCACTTTAATTCTCACTTATTTGCTAACTTTCAATTTGTATACATTTACAAGTATACAATAATTATTTTGTCATCCAGAATGTGACTTCTGGATAACAAAATAGATTATCTTATACTTGTACCTTATGCTTGTGATGTATGTTTGGACTCTGCTCCAAACTGACTCAGCTCACAGCTGTATTATATCCTTATTTAATACAGAGCATTATAAGTCTGGTGTCATTATCTGATATTTCCTCCCCAAACAACTTAATACCATTGAAGTCCATTTTTTTAATAAAAGAAAGCAAAGCTGTTTTTTTAAAGGAAACCGACTACTAGGAATGATAAGTTATGGGGAAACATTAAGCCATTTTCTGTTTCAACCTTTATTCAACCTTTTGCATTGCAAACTCGTGCAGAGAATGAAGAGTACAGAATTGAAAGATTGTCTTTAAGGTAAAATTATCAGATATGATTAGTAGCAATCTACTGAACAGAACAAGCTTGTTGGATAACATGTCCTTTCCTCGTAAGATTCATTATTTTCTTAAAGATCAATTGCATAAGATGCGTTTAAAACTTTGATGCCAGTTGCTTTGATTGGTGTTTTTGCATTATACAAGCAGTAACGGTTTGATTTCAAAGTTCTAACCACCAGCAATATATTGCATCTACGGGATTAAGTGAATACATTTATTGTAGATTTAATGTAGATTATTTCTTGGAACCTTTCTGCTAATTGTTAGACAGTGGTGGTAAATGGTCTCTTAATAGGTGTTACGCTACACAGGCCAAAGGTATAATACATTAGTAAAAGTTGGGAGGATGTCTTAAAGGGCTTCAGAATTCATTATTAAGTGGCTATTTGTTGGGGAATGTGGCAGCTCAGTTGCTCACAGCTGTGTCTGCAAACAGCTACAAAAAAAAGACTGATTTTGTTTGTGGTATTGTTGGCCAGCACACTGGAAGAAATTCCCTCTATTGGAATGGTACCTAGGGATCTTTAACGTCACTTAAATAGGCAGACTTAAATGTCGACTCAATTTAACGATGGCACCTCCAGCAATGCAGTGCTCCCCCAGCACTGCATTGGAGCATTAGTTTAATCTGTGTGAGTTTAAAGTTCCAATATTGGGCTGGAACTCGCAACCTTTTTACTCTGAGATGAGGGTGAGCTAACTGAGCCAGACATTCCACATTGGAGCTCTAATATGCAGAACTACAAACTGGAAGCATATGGACATAACCTTAATCTCAGCCTTGCTTTTCAAAGAGAAAATCACATGTGGTGTTCCCATATGGCCCTCATCACGTGTATTAAAAGTCGCCTTCACTCTCTCGAATGCACACTCTCCCTTGGGATGTGTTCTAGGGTCCGGGGAAGACTAATAATGGTGTGAGGAAAAAGTATAACGCTTTACAGGAGGTTAAGACGGCCACCAAGTTAAGATGCCTAATGAGGGTGAACAAGGAAGCTAATTTTTTTTAATATTCTGCGTAATTTTAAAAAAATTCTATGTATAACTTGTACAAGATTGGGATATTATCAGTATCCTAGTAACTATGTATAGGCTGAAAATTTGCATTGTTGGTGATAATTTAACCAATTCAAGTTCTGTACTGCTGGGAGCAGTCTCAAAAGTATCTCTTGGGTTGCTTGTCTTGCAGCATTCATTTATTAGTATTAATATTATTAATCAGTGCTTGTACTTGTTTAGTGCAATTTGTATCCTGGGATTATTGCAATATCCCACTTTGGTTCACAGTTAATAGATGAACTAATTTCCTTGGTAGTCGTGGAAAAGCAGCCTTGCTTAGAAGCTTGGGATTTTAGCTTAGTGCTTAGTCTTCACACGAGCCCTTGCACTAATGGGAGCTGTAGTTACTATCTGGAAAGCAGCTAGGTATACTTATACATTTGATTAAAGGCACAAGAATGGCAGATATAAGTTGTTGCTGCTATTGAAGACTGGTATTATGAAGCATTTGTAGTTTTTCTATGGGGTTGTCTGGAAATTAAGTTACTATTGTCTCATGTTTGAGATGTAGTCACTTAAATGTAGATGTCTGTTCTGATATTTACGTATTCCTGTACGGATGTAATTAGGTCATCATCTTCAATGCAAAACATTTTTGAGGCCTTACATTGTCATTTGGCATTTCTACCAGATTCCTGTTTATATATAGTATTTATATTCTATTTGTATAAATTCTATAAGTGGTTTTGTGACCATCTAGAAAAGGGGCTGTTTGAGCTGATCTGTTTGATCGAAATTTATGGCTAATGTAACCCATAAGATATAATTCTCGTATTTCAAGTCATTTTTGGAGTGACCCACCAGAAAGATGTTTCATCTGAGTTTCACAGGTGTTTTTTAAAAAAAGAGTAGAAAAGTAGCACATCGAGATTGGTTAAGGGGGGAGGTACTAAGGAAAACTTTGAAACTGACGTTTTTAAAAAGTATTTTTTTTGTTCTTTCAGCTGGGGATACAGATGATCCCCCACGAATTGCCCCAAATCCAGTCATCAATGGTAACGTAGCAATGGCAGATGGACACAACAACACAGAGGAAGACATGGAAGATGGTATTATTTTACTTTAGTCTTTGTTATGAGGCAAGTGACAGCGTGCTTCTTTTTGCTATTCACAGTTAGAGTTGCCTACAAAATAAAATTTCTATTGAATCTGGCAGACACTAGCTGGCGGTCAGAGGCCACATTCCGTTTCACCGTGGAACGGTTCAGTAGGCTCAGTGAGTCGGTGTTGAGCCCTCCTTGCTTTGTACGGAATTTGCCATGGAAAATCATGGTAATGCCTCGCTTCCACCCTGATCGGCCCCATCAGAAGAGTGTTGGTTTTTTCCTACAGTGCAATGCTGAATCAGATTCCACGTGAGTAAAAGCTCGGGTTTCTTCTCTACAAGTAATTCTGACTGCAAATAGTTTGCTATGAGATAATTGGCTTTTTAAGTAGTACATTAACACAATTTGGCTAGAGAAGAGTAAATTAAAGTTCTATTTATTAAGTTATGTATCTAGCACCACAGAAAAAATCTCAATGGGTCAGTTATCAGTTTCTGCAACTAATGGATGTTTGTGATTAACATTAGTAACTTACATGGGTGCTGCTTTCTAACATATGCTAAATTGTGGGGAAAGTCCAGAATTGTGAAATGCCCCCTACTTGCTGCTGCCGATATGGATTAGCAGGAGTAAAAATACCCTTATTTGGTCAATGTTGTGTAAAAGTAACTGGAAAAAAATAATTTTATAGAAGATTATAAAACATGAGAAAAACCTGTTCATCCTACAGTATATTGGTAGCTTATGGTATTAATGGTAATGCTTTGCCCTTTTAATTGTGAATTGGATAGTTGAGTGTTTTTTAAACATTGCCCAATTGTATGCATTCTAATGCATTCTTCGTGTTTCTTTACAGGTCATGGTCTTGTCATGCTCAAGCAGTACTAAAAATAATCAACTACAAAGACGAGGAAAAGTCCTTTAGTCGAAGGATAAGTCACCTCTTTTTCCACAAAGAGAATGATTGGGGTTTCTCTAATTTTATGACTTGGAGTGTAAGTGAATATTTTTTTTTTGGTACCAATTTTTGTGTTTTTATCTAATTTGACATCTTGTCTGAATTATTGTGAAGAATTTTGTTTTACAATTACTTCAGGACATTTCTGGTTAGTGACCCCACAGTGCAGTTGTACTGTCCCATGACTTCAAATGTTAACTGAATGATCTCAACGTTCCCTGCTGCAGTAATCCAAGAAGGATGCCTATGTGTCTTCAACTCCATTAAAGTAGGAAATAATTCTTCAATTTGGCCGTCCCAAACATCTGGTTCCAGGTTACTTGTGCTGGTGCTCTTTGCTGCTAGTTCCACAGGATGCACTTGTCAGCTCACAACTGTCTTAAGAAGTTCAAGGGATCCCGTCAATTTTACAAAATGTCAGTTTCTCATGAAAATCCAAACGTTAATGTTTTGCATAACTTTGCAGTGGTTTTGAAAGCTTAGTTCCCAAATGATGATCGGTTGCCCTCCCATTCAGCAACTCTTTTAAGAACTGCAGCAGTTATCCCAAACTTAAGAAAGTGTTCCCCACGTTCTACCTCCACAGAAATAATCGAACAAAACTGTTTCAAGAATTTTGTATTCTTCATTCAAGCATTGAGTCGTTGCGTTAAGTATGATGGATCTACTTTTCTGTTTGAACGCTTTGGTTTTTATGAGTCAATTCAAATCATAACTATTACAAAGTCATCCATGCATTTTAAATTGAGCAGCTATGATGCAAGTCATTGAATTCAAAGGAATAGTTATTCAGTATGCTTTTTAAATGTTGTAGGAGGCAACAGATCCTGAAAAGGGGTTCATAGAAGATGACAAGGTTACATTTGAAGTATTTGTTCAAGCTGATGCACCGCATGGTGTTGCGTAAGTATTAACCCCAGAAAATGTACCCTCAAAATAATTAACCTGTTTGCAACCAAGTCACAGTAAATCTATACTTTTCTAGATTTATTTAAAAAATAATTAGACTTGTAGTCGATGAGTACCATTTTCTAGAATGTCAAGAAATGCTAGCAGAGCTCCCATTAGCTCTTGGGGATAGATCTGAAAAAATGGTTAGTGACATAAATGTCCAGAAAATGTACTTGGACAGAGTAAATCATTCTCTTAACTCCCTTCTGCATTAGGAAACAAAAATCCCATGGAAAATACATTGAGGTATTGGCAAGAGTGAACTTTGTGTTTGGCTTAACATCAGCACCCTTGAGTGCCTGAGTTAAGCCAAACACAAAGTTCACTCTTATCTCAGTGTACTTTCTGTGGGATTTTAGCAGAACCAAATGTTTTGATTTCTCCAAATTCAAGCACCTTCATTGTGTTTGGCTGGTTAGAGTTCACTCTCAAACTGGATGTTCTGTATGTGAGGGAAGGTGCTTATCTATGTCTAAACATCGCCAGCCTTATCATTTTTTGCTTGTGTGGGGCCAACATGCTATTTACATGATGGTAGGTCATGGGGGGTGGTAGGGGAGAGGTGGGGGATGCGGAAGGGAAATGCAGCAGTGTTGCTGCCTAGATTACCTATCTTTTAGAGTAAAGGGGAAGGGTCTTTGTCACTCTAACTCCTAGCAAAGTATAAAATATGAATTGGGATTGGCTGGATGTTATGTTTGTAATTGTGTTATGAGGAATTATTTCATTATTAGAAGAAGACTTTGAGCTGATTATATTGATTTTGAGAGTTTTGCTTGAAATTGATTTCAGGTGGGATTCTAAGAAGCATACAGGTTATGTGGGATTGAAAAACCAAGGAGCCACCTGTTACATGAACAGCTTATTACAGACTTTGTTCTTCACGAATCAGCTGCGTAAGGTAGTGTACGATTGGGTCAGTAAAGTGTTCAGCAGCGTATCTTTACTAGAGTTTAATCCTTAAGAAATGTGTTGTACATATATCCTAGCTTTGTTTGCACACAACTCCCCAAACTGACATGTAAACTGTAATGTCGAAATGTTTCTGTTGTATTCACTTACAAAACGTCACCGCAGTTTACAGAACATACTGCCTGTCCTCCCGACCTAGAAGGCAGTGTATCAAATGCAAAGTTTATTTGTTATAAATATTTACAATGTAGTTTTAAAAAAATTAAAACATTTCATCGTTTACTGAAAGCACAATCTGTTAATCAAAGTGGACTTGTTGTTAATGAAATGTCACATACCCTTTCAAAATGTAATTAACATTTTGTGAAAAAAACAGTATGTCAAATATGTAGCATAAGCTAATAATATGATCAAATAAGCCAGTTTCATAGACATGATATCTTGCTTTTGTTTATAAACTACTTGTGAGCAGCATTGCTCTGTCTCCCACTAATCTCTAGCCAATTTAGCAATAACTCAGTTAAGATGCATTTTTGAAGTGTTTTGCACTTAAGGCTCTCCAAATGTTCAGTATGTTAATGCAAAAATTGAATTCACTTTGTCATTCAGATGGGATGGTTAATGGGAGAAAGATAAGGTGGAGAAGGGGTATTATGATCAATCTATAAAACAGATTGAATATATTAAGGGAAGCCCTTTGGCTTTCTTTGTAGATTAAGTACTTTGAATGTTAATTATTAACGTCTGTCCAATATTTACAGACTAGCTAGCCGATAAGTATCGACAACTTAACTTTACTAATCAATTGATTTTGTTTTATGCATAGGCTGTCTATATGATGCCAACAGAGGGAGATGATTCATCAAAAAGTGTCCCTTTAGCATTACAAAGGGTTTTCTACGAATTGCAGCACAGTGACAAACCAGTAGGAACTAAGAAACTAACAAAATCGTTTGGGTAAGTGAAAAATACCATGCAGTTAGAAATCTATTGTACAGGTTTATCTTGCCTGTTATTTTAAGGACCCAACACCAAAATTTGTTGTTGACCGTAGTTCTCCCTATAATGATATGACAATTTGTTGTGAACTTTGTTCAAAACTCAAAGCAATTTTGACATGTCCGGCTTGTCTAATGATTGACAATCCTGGCAGTGCTTGGTATTCTCCTGTGTTGAATGTTTTGGTTTCTAGGTGCTTTTTGTTTTCATATAATTGTCAACAATATACATAGATATACATTTCACGATATACAAATGATATACATTTCATATAATTTATATTAGATTGTATTAAATTGAGAATGAAGATAATATCTACAAAGAGCAATTGTACGCTGCTTAGTATGCATGGGTAAAGAGGATACAGAGAGAAATATTGATCTTAGTGTTAAGCACTCATGCATAGATCACATTTTCATGACTTGGGATTCACAAATTATATAGTATTAACCAAGTCTTTTTAACTTGATTAACTTTCAAAATATATGGTAATCATACTGTATATATCCGACAAAAAGTTAACTACAAAATAGCAATGTTTTTGAATATCAGTCTTGCATAATATCAACCTTCTTGTGTAGGTGGGAAACACTAGACAGTTTTATGCAGCATGATGTCCAGGAGTTGTGCAGGGTGGTGAGTATTCTTTACAGAGCAAACTTTGACATCAAGCTTTGACTATCATTAATTATAAGTTGAGGACTTGTATTTGGTCGTAACTGTTGGATATGTTTTGAATGCATTTCATAAGGTCACTTCCATGCCATGAGTCTCGTTTTAAAGTTTTCCTGCCTGCTGGAATATGTTAACCTGTAGAATATTCCTGATTTCATATCATTTGACTTTTATAAAATAATTGATTGATGCTCTTAACAACAAAAAAAAGTGTTCCTACTTTCCATCTTGAAGCTTAATCTAATTGAATAACATTAAGATTTTGTGTTGCTTGTATTGTACCTGAAATTATTCTTAATTTCTGTCCAAACGGACCCTGTCTACAATTGGTACATTGCATAAGCAGTCTCTTGGTCTTTTAGTGTAGCATGGAGACTGAACATTTGTTGATTTTTAATAGGTTACAAAAGGAAATTGTGTTTAGAAAGTTTTAATAATGTTCTGTACTTAATGGATCTGGATGCAATTACAACACAATTATTAAATTTCAACTTTCCTTTACCCCCCTCCCCTCTCCCTAGCTACTTGATAATGTTGAAAACAAAATGAAAGGGACCTGCGTTGAGGGCACAATTCCGAAATTGTTTCGAGGGAAGATGGTGGTATGTATTAATTGCAAAAGCTTATTTGTGAAGTTGGGATCAATCCTGAACCTTTATTGGCAATCTTTTACATTTTTGCTTTCGCTGTTTTCAGTCGTACATTCAGTGCAAACACTTGGAGTATCGATCTGAGAGAATAGAAGATTATTATGACATTCAACTCAGTATAAAGGGAAAGAAAAACAGTGAGTAGTATACCCATTTACAGTTTCATTCATGATTAAACTTTTACAATCAGAAATCGACAGTTTTCTTTTACCTTGTTCTGCAGTTTTTGAGTCTTTCAAAGATTATGTAGCCGTGGAACAGCTGGATGGGGACAACAAATACGATGCTGGTGAACATGGTTTACAGGTAAGTCCATCGTAATTTGGCATAAAACGCTGGCAATTTTTGGGGCCATTACAATTATCTGTGGTGCTCAGCAATCCTGGTTTGAGGTCTGATACCTGGGGAGGAGGGGGTTTATTAAATGCTGCCAGTCTGAGGGAGAAATTCAGAATTGTCGTTTGGCACAAGATGATGCAAGTGACACAGCTGGAAGGTTTGTCTGTCATATTAACATAATACATCAGGGATTCTGTATTTTGTGGTTAAGTGTTGATGGAGTGCACAGCCTATACAATGTTTCACTGTAAAACCTGATGATGAAATCCATAGTATTTACTGTGTGTCTGGAGATCATCTTTCTTGACATGGCAGACCATGCATGTACACATACTCAGTCAGTTGGTTGTTTGGGGGGACACCAGCGCAGGGCGGAATGGTTCTTTTCCCCCCACACTACATTTGAAAACCTGGAAATCGGCCAAACACCAGCATTGCTGGCCAGTGTTCTAACTGCTACAGGAGGTCACACATTCACAATCATACATACAGCGGAGAGAGACGCACAGATACTTGTAAACACAGACACACATATAGAGGAGATACTCAAAACACACACGCACAGGAGAGACGTAAATACTCACACAGACAAACACGCACTCGCACATATCGACAGAGGAGAGAGAGCGAGACACACGCAGACAATCTCACCAGCGTGGTCTAAGGGAGAGCAAAACCAACTCCCCGCTCACTGCACATCCGGAGCTGCTCCACCCACAGTAGCGGCATTGAGCAAACAGCCACCAGCAGCGCGCAGAGGACCGGGGCTGATCTCACTGTGTTTGTACGTGTTTGTAGCAGATTCCATGGCAAAATGTCTGTTGGCCCAGGTCATAGCGCTACCACAGCACCTGGAAATTATAATCTGGTCAGGAAAATCAAGGAAATTCAGAAATCTGCTCCTGCCTAACCCGCCCCATCATCGAAGGTTGGCCCTTGAGCCTTTCTGCGCCCACCCTTTGGAACTCCATCCCACCATCCCTTCACTTTGACTCCTCCATTGCCTCCTTCAAGGCCTGTCTCAAGTCCCTCCTCTTTGACCGCGCCTTCGTTCACCCTCCCTGTCCTCCACCCCTCCTGATCCCAACCCCTAGCTCGGGTGCAAATCCTTGACTGTCCAGCGCCTTGGGATGTCCTTCCAACGTGAAAGGTATTATACAAATGGAATTTCTTGTTGAAAAAGAAAATCTCAACTGCCTTGTACACTCTGGACACAATTCTAGACTGGCTGAAATGTTCAGCTTCTGCCAGCTGGCTGTGTGGCCAGGGAAGTGGAATAAATGATTCAGGTTTGTGATCAATATATTGGCATTGCCTGAATATTGTAGGTCTAATGTATGCTGCTCATGAGGCATTCTGCAATAGTATTCTCATACATTCTCCACTTCTCAGAGTTGCTTTAGATTAGTGAACACACCCTACAGTGATAGTCACCAAGTACCAACATCTTGACTGGGCTATACATGCAGTCCCGTCTACCATCACTAGCATGAGCACTGGTACTTTTCTCTTGTAGGGTTGGAAACCTATTTGGAGGGGGAAATGACCCAGGGAGTATGAGACTTAATCAACTGGTACACTTGAACCTCAAGCAATTTGGCTGTTTCTGAAGTTTTTACGAAGAATGGAATACACTACAGAGAAGCAAGAGTATGGACTTTAAACTTTGGCATTTTATCTTGAATCCATGCAGAATGCCATTCATTAGTTGCAGGCACTTCTGCAGACATTGCAACTTGACACCTGGGTGGAACAGAATGAAACGATACTGAGAAGAAACTATTGACCTATTTTTTTTTAGTTGGAGTAGGAGATGGGCTTTGCTGCTGCTTTCTAAAATCTGAGGTTCTAAGCTTGACCAGGTTTCATTTCTTTCACTCCCCACACTTTCCTATTATAACCGCATATCATTCATGTGATTCAGGCACAGGAAGCTGTATTCATTCTTATTGACATTTAATGGTTCTCAGGAACAACTGATCCATTGAGATTCACTGTAGAAAAGATCCTGATATCCGGACTCAGGTTGACAAATTGGATTTGGCCTAATAGCTCTAAAGCTTTCGACTATCTTTGTTATTGGAAGACCTATCATAAAGGAACAAAGCTGCCAACATTTAGCCTTCTGTATTGATGAAAGCTTGTAGATTAAAACTCGTCTTGGCAGGTAAAGCACTTTGTTCATTAGTATACCTTTTGCTTTTGATTTTCCTGATGGCAGATTGGAAGACCACAATGAAAGGCTAGAAAACTGAGAGAAAGGTATAACTGTCACAGTAGTAGTAGAACATATTCCAACCTGATTTAAGCCATTTGTACATCCAGCTATATAAGTGCCTATTTCCCCAAAACGTGCCATAACATTGCGTTCTTGTGACACCCAAGTTGTATCGAGACAAGAGAATTGATTTAGAACATGAATATTATGTAGTATCAAAAGCATTGCTTGCCTCAAAACAACCAGTGTGGTATGTTGGTCATCACATGTTTTATATAAACCAAGTAAGTATAATTAAAACCTTTGGGAGTATAGGAGTAACTGCTATGCAAATGTAAGCAAAGAAATTAACTATTTCAACTGCATGAAGTGCATGGTATTTTCATGAATTTGACCTCTATGTAAGTTTTCTTTTTGTTCTATTTGCAGGAAGCTGAAAAGGGTGTGAAATTCCTTACCTTTCCACCAGTGTTGCATCTACAGCTTATGCGATTCATGTACGACCCGCAAACTGATCAGAATATCAAAATAAATGACAGGTAAGAAGATCGTTATCTTTACTCATGTTAATTGTGTACAAGTGTGCATTGCTAATAGGTAATTGTCAAAAACAGTTGCAGTATCTTTTGTTAATGTGAATACTAATTGTTGGTCTGCCATTTTAACAGTTTTCCGGTAAGAAGATTGAAAACAATTGTGTCAACTTGTCCCTCCCTGTTCACTCAGTTTTTGATTACATTTTGGGGCCTTTTTCTGAAAGATGGAGATTTTTTTTAAAGAAGCTCCATAGCTGGCAGACTGTTATGTATGCTATTGATTTACGAAGTCCCGGTTTCTGTATTTTACACCACATACATGCTATCTTATTATAGTTATGTTTATTGGTAGATTTAACTGAGTATTTTTATGTAATTTTCTCACTTCCTCAAGTTGCTTCATGGTGCTTGTCTGTAAGTTGTCTCTACAGCATAGGAGAGAGCAGTTGTGGGGAGAATTGTGCTCCCCATAAACAAAATATTGGGCTTTTGCAAGCTTGTGCTTGAAAAATACCCACTTCGAAAAAAAATCCCAGGCCTGCGCAGGTAACTCAATTATTGTCTGTTGGAGTTTCGCCTCATTGTGCTGTGCTGCAGTGGTTGATAGTTTGGATATTATTGGCGGTGTACCTAACAGACTGTTTCTGGAACTTTGCTAAATAGACCTTGTGATCTCTTAAACAATGAAATTGTGTTGCAAGAGTAAAACTGAATGGTGGGTGGGTGGCAAATTTGCTTTTTCTCATTGTCGGCATTTTTCTTAAGGGCTTGAGTTAGTGCAGTCTTGGACTTGTGACAGTTTTTGTACTCTTTATTTTCATTCACTAAAGAAAGACTCAGTCCAATTATAAAATTTCATCCTTCTAAGCTTGGCCAGAAGCATTTTAAGTTTCATGATGAGCATTGCAACAGCCTTGTATAGATGGCTCGAACACTGGACAGCATGTCAGAGCTGATGCCTAAAAGCTTCTTAAAGGGGAAGGGCAAAGTCTCTTTTGAGCATAATGTGTACAGATGTGAAAAAAATTAACCTTTCCAGTTAATTACATCCAGGGCCTTCATTATGCTTATCAAGGACAAAAGAATTAATTTTAACATTTAAATATGTAGGCGGTGGTGTCAGCTAAAATGTCAAATGAGTTGCATTTAGGAGTTATCACTATTTAAACGTGCAATGTGATTGTTCATGTGGTATACATACGTTGTGCAATCTTTAATTTGCTATATTTAATATATTTTACCTTTTTTAGACCGAGACTCTCCTGTTTGGCTCCTGTCAGCGCCGCCACACCTCAGGCACTGACAGCATCACCATCCATGGAAGCACTCCACCTTACTAACTCAGTCCGGAACCTTGGCATCTTGTTTGACCTTCAACTATCCTTTCTACCCCATATCTGTGCTATGATCCGATCTGCCTTCCCCACCTCCTCAACATCGCCCGGCACCACCACTGTCTCACACCGCAGGCCGCCAAGACCTTCATACATGCTTTCATTACATCGAGGCTTGACTATACAAACTCCTTGCTTGTCGCCCTCCCCAACTCCTCCCTCCATAGGCTGCAGATCATCCAGAACTCTGCAGCCCGTGTCCTCTCCCGGACCAGGCTCCATGACACTATCACCCCCATCCTCACCCAACTCCACTGGCTTCCCATCACACAGAGGATACAGTTCAAGATCCTGGTCCTCAACTTCAAAGCTCTCCATGGTTTTGCTGCCCTCTACCTCTGCAACCTCCTAAACCCCTAACATCCTGCTTGCTCCCTCCACTCAGCGGGCTCCGGCCTGCTTCACGTTCCTCGCCTCGCTCACCCCACTATTGGCGGGAAGGCCTTCTGCCACTCTGGCCCCACCCTCCGGAACTCCATCCCGCAGTCCCTCTGCCTCACCCCCTCTTTTTCCTCCTTCAAGACCCATATCAAGACCCTCCTCTTCGACCGTGCTTTCAATCACCCTGTTTCCCCCCCTTGCCCTCTACCCTCCCCCATTCTGACCCCTAGCTCGAGTCCGTAACTCTGACTGTCCAGCGCCTTGGGACGCCTACCCGACATGAAAGGCGCTATACAAATGTAATGTTTTTAGAAGTTAGGATCTCTTTCATTTGCTCTTTGGCATTGCCTGGTCAATATTTCCCTTTAAACCTGAAGGTTGTGCAGACATATTACAGACAAGATTATTACTAGGTGATGACAGACTACTTTAAAGAAGCTTTCTATTGGAATCAATTTTGTAAAACCTCAAGTATTACCTAACTAGCATACCAGTACAATTTTGTGTGTACTGGCTTGGGGTCTGCAGTTGTAATACATTTGTGGGAAGAAAAATAGTGACTGAAGCCAAGTCATTGGACAAAGTTGGAGCTTTTGTTTGATTTTAGCTGTAATAATATGGAGTATCAAAGTGCTTTTTTATACTGTTGCTGACAAACTGCATTTGCAATGTTGGTTAGAATTTGTATTACAGTGTTTGTGCCCTACCAGATCACTGTTCCTTTAAATGTATTTGAACATGTTTTCTTTTGATGTGCAGTAACCAGATCGGAATAGCACATTACGTAACCCCAAATTACTCCAAACTGGCTTTGAACTTGCAATTAAATTTCCACATTTGCTTAAAATGTAAGCTATGCAATTTGTTTCCTGTTTCAGTATTTTCTAAGGGCAATTTCAATTTTATTTCTTAAGGTTTGAATTTCCTGAGCATTTGCCCTTAGACGAATTTCTGCAGAAACCTGATCCCAAAGATACTGCTAATTACATACTACATGCAGTGTTGGTGCACAGTGGAGACAACCACGGTGGACATTATGTAGTCTACCTAAACCCTAAGGGTGACGGTAAAGTGAGTATAAACCGCTGGTAAAGTAGCTACTGTATTTTGTCTTTGTTTAGAGAAATTTTGCAAATGTTTAATGTGGTTAAGGTAAAGGGTGGAGTTTGAATTGAATCAGCAATGCATTTGAAATTCCTAAAACATTCTTGGTGGTTTCTCCTACCAAATATTTTGCTTTTTAAAACTCCTAGCTGCTGATTCAAGTTGAGGCATTCCTTTTAGATTACTGGGAGACGATTAATTTTGATAGATGTATAACTTTACTGTTCTCTTTCTTCCTCCCTTGTCCTCCCTCTAACATTTTCCCCTCTAGCTACAGGAATTTTTGGATCCTAGGTCTCTGTTGATTTATTTGAATGATTGAAGTTTGTATTGTGTTTTGATATATCATTTATATGGGAGCATCCAGGAGAGAGAGAGTCCTGGGCATTGCATATTATTTGAAAGCATTACTCTTGTCCTTACGAAAAGGCGTAAACCTTTGTTCTCTATGTAACCTGGTTATCCATTTGCAGTTCCTCACAAGACCAACACAAACATCTGTGAAAGAGGGATTGTCCCAGCTCTCCACAGCATGCAACTGGAATAGTTCTCCTGTAAGCAATATTTCAAATAGAAAAGGAAGATCCTAGAGTATTTTCCGAAAGCGCTTCCGATGACTAATAGGGAAGGGTTAGTTTCTTTATCCATCTTAGGCCCAGATAAAATGATGCCGATCTTTTAAAAACAAAATTGTATTATGCTGAAAAGTGCAAGTTTTTAAAGATTAGCTTTGATTCATGAAGTTTGCATTTTCACCATCCTTTTCTGCAAGAGTCAATTTATATACAGCAGCAATTTAGCACTTGTGCAGCATCTTTCAAGCAGGGAGATGCCTCACCGAGCTTTACAAAGGCTGAGTGGGAATTCTAGCTGGGAGGGAGAATGGAGGAGTTGTAAGAAGATGGCCAAAAACAGTTTTGCTGACTGCTTTTAACTCCCCCTAGAAGGAGCAGAGAAAGGAGAAGAAATTTCAAAAGTTCCAGATAGCAAGGCAGCTCGTCTGCTAATCCTTTCCCATTGCTGTTTATCGCCCGAGCTCGCACTGTTGGTTTGTTTTGTCACTTAGCAGTGACATAACCTTACCTTGAGGGAAAAAACTTGCCTTAAAATGGCTTTCCTGTTGGCTAACCATGATGCGTAAGCAGAAGTTGGCCTACGTAGACCATTCCTGCTTTCCCAATAAGATGATTGATTAGGTATGAACAGCTTGAAGGGGAACAACAAGCAGCTTGGAAAGGGAATAAAATGCAGTTTGGAATGGGACATTTGTGTTTTTGTTATTGTATTTGGGTGAGTACACTACAATCCAGTGTTTAGATCAAATTTCACGCAGGTATTTAGAGAGAAAGAAATGTGGAAAATTGGATGTAGATCTGGATGGAAAAAATTCACTTAATTGAATTATTTTGGAATCTTCCTTATGAAACCAAATTTTAAGAAAGATAAAGTGATAGAAATATAGAGAAAATTGTGCTTAATAAAAGATGTACTTTGTGAAATGTTTTAAAGGAAGAGTCTTGCCATGCACATCCCTTTTTAAAAGTTAAAGCAGCCCTTGTAAATCCTGAAATTTATTATCCATCAATTTTGGATTGTCACTTGAAGCTCTTCAGTGACCGCTTTAAGACGTTAGCAATGCTTTCAGCACACAGGAAGATTAAACTATATTTAGCTGACTAGTTTGTTATACTGCATGTGCAATCAGAAAGGTAGTAATCAGGGTAAGGAAACAGTGAGTGATAATTCTGTTTTCACTTTCCTCACAAGTGGTGTAAATTTGATGATGATGTCGTATCACGGTGTACAAAGGAAGAAGCAATTGAACACAACTATGGAGGTCATGATGACGACTTATCTGTGCGACATTGTACCAATGCCTACATGCTGGTATACATCAGAGAATCAAAACTGAGTAAGCAATGTCTTAATACAGAATGTACAATCGCTGGCCTTCAGTGTGGGTTTTTTTGCAGTTTCAGCTTTCGAACTCGCAATTGTTTCTGTGCAGAGACTGTTTAGTATTGTGGAAAAGCAGACTGGCCTCATGTTTATACCTTTATTTACAAACTCTGCGCTGCCTCTGTAAAGTGAATGAAAAGTAAGCTTTTAATTATGGCCTTTATCTTTAAAAATTATCATACCATCATACCTTGCACCATCATCCTTTTGCCTATAAGAATTATTGCTTTTTGGCACTGAGTCACAAGTTACTGAACCTGACCTTAGTGAGTGCAACCAAAATGCAAAATTACTGCAGACGCTGGAAATCTGAAACAAAAACAGAAGTCACTGGGACCGCTCAGCAGGTCAGGCAGCATCTATGGAGAAAGAAAAATGAGTCGACGTTTCAGGTCCACGACCTATCGTCAGAACTGGGGGGAAGTGGATCCGCAACGACCCGTTGAGTGTTCCCAGCGACTTCTGTCTTTGTCTTAGTGAGTGCAACGTGTGTGTGTGTGTGTCTCTCTCTCCCCTGCCCCCCACCGCCGCAGTTTGACCTTTGTCTGTTTAATGGCGTTTATGCAGGAGAAAAAAGTTTTTTCAACCAACTTTTTCCATTTGAAGGTGAGGTTTTGCAAGCAGTCACTGACCTTGACATTCCACAGCAACTGGTGGAGCGCCTGCAGGAAGAGAAGCGGGTAGAAGCTCAGAAGAGAAAGGAGAGACAGGAAGCTCACCTCTACATGCAAGTTCAGGTATTGATCCATACAATATGAGTACATGGATACAGTATACGAGTAATTTGAGACATGATGTATAGTGAGTGAGTTATGTTTGGAAGAACCAGGTAACTTTAAATCTGAGATTCCCAAAGCTTTCCACTCTGTTGTAGACTAATCCACACATAATTAATTGCTATCAACGTCTCCATTATTGTAGCATGCAAGATGGTAGAAGGGGAACTAGATGGTCGTTGATCTTTTTTCGTCTGGCAATTCCTACATTCCTAAGTAATTGCCTGAAGGTTGCAAGAGTTGTCGTCACTGATATGTGGACTTGTGGTTTCCTGTGGTTGGTAAAGGGACTCGCAGAGTACCTCAAAATTAATGTGTTAATTACTGCACCAAGATCCATTTTAGTTATTTAGCTTCAATTTTTTTTGTGGATACCTTAAATTACTTTGCCTACTGGCAGTATGTGATATATCCATTGTTCAAATAAAATGCACTTCTGTGTTTTTCAGTTTTGTAAATTGTATGTGATAATCAACATGCCAGTTTAACAAGGGTTGAAATGTGGCTTTCACTACTGGTGAAGATCCAGATAATACAAGTTTCTTCTGCTAATGATTGCTTACTTTCAAAGAACTGTTTTCTGCCACATTTTTCCCTGTTTGATGTAGTCTTTTTCCGACAATGTTGCCCTCTCATGAGTTGGAAATATTTTTTGAATTGATGGCAAATTTTTAGTGGGTTCAGAAAATACGGTGGTATGAATGAATGCGTTTAAATGAAAGTGTGAAAGCCTCTCTATATGGTCCTGTCTTCTCTAGATCGTAACAGAAGACCAGTTCTGTGGACATCAGGGGAATGACATGTATGATGAAGAGAAGGTGAAATATACAGTGTTTAAAGTACTGAAGAACTCAACACTTGCAGAGTTTGTTCAGAATCTCTCACAAACAATGGCAAGTTTTCTGAAAGTGTTTGATTGCTATAATGACACCCAACTCTTATCTCTGCTTCTGTCCTTGATTCCAAAATCAAGGATGTTCTGCTTGCCTGTCATACAGCATGCCCTTGAACGAGTTCTAACTTTTTTCAGTTCAATGTGAACAAGATCGAGGCTCTCCTCTTCTGTCAGCCTTTTCTCACCTTAGCGGCTGATTGCGTGGATCTGCACAGATACTCCCTCAAGAAGCCAGTGCTAAACCTCAGTGTCTGTCTGTTCAACTCTCAATATCTCTATATCTAGCTCACTCTCAGCTTTCCTTCACCTTCACGAAACTACCTGCCTCAGTAATAATATAATAATAATCAATCACTATCTCTCCTCCCAGGAGCCTTCAGCGAGCCTAGACTTGATTATTCCAACTCTCACCAGACTGTTTCTCCCTACACAAGCAGCATGTCATCCAGAATTCTACCCATACTTTCCTGCATTTGTGCCCCTTTTCACACCCCCATACGCACACAAACAGCTATCAATGCCTCAGATATTCACTTTACTGCTGTTTGTAGATATTGCTACTTGCAGGTTTGACTACAAAATACACTTTCACTACACTTTACAGTAAATCCTGCGAAGTGCTTTGAGACATCCTCCTGACATAAAAGGCGCTATATCAAGAGCAAGGATGATTAGTAAATGTAAATTGTTCTTTTAATTCTGAATTAACTTATTTATTAGTGGTAGAATTGAACTTGTTAGTCTAGTAAAACCAACAATTTAACAAGCTTTCAAAAGCCTTATAAAATTGCAACATTTTGCATAACATCAGATTCTGGACTCTGGATAAATAGTGGTTAAGAATTTTAATCCACATTTTGGTGTATTCTCGAAACAATATACTGATTTGGATGCAATGTGCAGGATAACTCTAGTGTGACCTTGTTTTTGCTGTTTGGTCTGATAAGAGGTTCTCGCCTTAATACAGGGATTCCCTCAGGAGCAGATCCGATTGTGGCCAATGCAAGCACGGAGTAATGGAACAAAGCGACCGGCAATGTTAGACTACGAAGCAGATAGTAACAAAACTGTAAGTGTGATTGTTACTGTGTAAGAGATTAATTCCCGCATAGCCAACATTTGCTTTACCTCTGTGAAAGTTTTTTTTCTGTTGGGGTTTATAGTTGGGTATCTGCTGTAGCCAAAGAAATGGTTAAAGGCCCCAATTTTTGACAAATTCGCATCTAGGTCAAAAACACACAAAAATAATCCAGATTATTACTAATATGGTAATTAGAGATTCTCTAATTTGCTTCACAAACTACATTAGAAACTGATTACTGTATTTTGTTACTGATGGTCAAATATTCTTGAGTTTCGAGCATTGTGGAGAAGTGCACCTGAGCTGCTGTGTTCGCATCACTGACGGGAAGGAATTTGGGGTGGGTAATAAATTGGTATAATTCTGAACCTTTGGACTGCACAGTGTAAATGATACTGAGCCATTTAAATCAGTGCACACACTTTTTCCTTAGGAGAATGATTCTGGATGACCATTCTTTTAAATGGTTTTACCTATGTTCTAACTGCTGATTCTGCCACATGGTGGTGCTGTGTATAAACTGCATAATGTTATTAATCTGTGCTATGTTGTGTTGTGTACTGTGTCACAGTGTAAATGATGTGATAAGCATGAAAAACTATTTGAAGGGTTTTATTGAGTTCCACAGAAAAAAAAAGTTGATTCTGCCTTTGGGCACGTGATAGAACATAAATTCAGATTACTAATATGGCACTTATCGATTGTCACGCCACTCGAGGTAAAGATGGACGTAATAAGGTTTCAACTTCTTTTCAAATTTGATGTTCAAACAGACAAAGTAAAATAAACGGTTAGAGTAGAATATTAAAATAACGCCAAAGATGTGTGTATGCCTAGGCTGTGTTGAATTTTTAATGGAACCTGCAAGACAAAGATGCTAACCAGTCTTTTGAATTTCGTTTTCTGTGCAGATGATTGAGTTGAGTGACAATGACAACCCATGGACTATATTTCTGGAAACTGTTGATCCAGAGTTAGCTGCCAGCGGAGCAACGTTGCCTAAATTTGATAAAGATCGTAAGTCTACATACATTAGGGCAGGACAATATAGATCATGGCAGGCTGTTTCAACTTGTCCAGAATAGTAGAACCAGAGGACACGGCATGCGATTGAAGGGGGTAAATTCAGAACAAATCTACGCAAACACTGTTTCAGTGTGCGAATAGTGAACCTGTGGATCAGGCTCCCTGGGGAGACGGTTGAAGCAACATTGGTGTTGATTTCTTTCAAACACAGATTAGATAGTTTTCTTCTAGGAAATACCATTATGGGATATACTACGAAGGGAGTTTGGGACATGTGTGCATGCCACCACCAGGAAGGTGGAAGGCGAACTAGATGGACCTTAGTCTTTTTTTTCTCTAGCATTTCTTATGTTCTTACATTAGCCGGCCCTGTTGTATTAAATAGTGTATGACAAAGCAGTAATATATTGTCACATACTGAACACAAAAAGGTGCATGAGTGGTGCTGAGAGCAAACCTAGGTAGTGCACGGAGATCAGGATAATGGCCAAGTGCAAAACTGAGCAACTTGAGAACTTTTGCGCAAGCTTACTGGGGTTCGTTTAATGGGTGAAAATGTTTCCTGGTTTACAGTAACGTTTTGCCCAACTAGAAACCTCAATCCTATTGCTGCTTAATTTGTGTTGACACTAACATTTACTGAAATCTGTTGAGGTGAAGGGTGGCTGCTCGTAACAAAATAAAACGTAAGCAACTTTCATTGTACAAAACTAATATGTTTGAGAGCCCACAATATATACAGTTAATTCACTTTACAATATATTCTCTGAAGTGCTTTGAGATGTATTAATTAATGATGTGATAAAGCGCACTATCAAATGGAAGGATTATTAAGTGGTTTTAGATACTAGGGTACCAAGTTTGAAAAGGGGTGAATAAGTAGTTAATAATAGTTTGCCAATAAACTAAAGCTTACTTCTTTTCTTCAGATGACGTGATGTTATTCCTGAAGATGTACGATCCCAAGACTCGCAGTTTGAATTACTGTGGACATATCTACACCCCTATATCGTGTAAAATACGTACGTTAAATCTAGTTATACACAAATCAAAAAATATAGTTTTGTGGGCAAAATCTATTCTAAATATTACAAATATAATTAATCAATATGTCTCCCACAAAATATGGTCAATTCCCTTCACAGCATGTTCTGTGAAGCGCTTTCAGGCGTCTCAATGACGTGATAAGGCGCTGTATCAAATGCAAGGATTATTATTAGTTAAAACAAAATAATGATTACTGTGAGGTTTTCATTCATTTTGTTAATATTTTGATTTATATTATGCAGGAGATTTACTGCCAATCATGTGTGAGAGAGCAGGGTTTCCGCAAGGAACTAACCTTATCCTCTATGAGGTATGTAGAGCATAAATGTTGATGTAAACTATGCACTTTTACTGTGGATATTCTTTATGAATATCTAAATGCTGCAGTTGTTCAAGACTGAATTTGCTATTGACAGCAATTTTGTTTTCCTATTGAGAGCAATCGGCCTGATTTATATTGATTGAAACCCTTTCTTCGCTTCAGGAAGTAAAACCCAATTTAACTGAAAGAATTCAGGATTATGAAGTGTCCCTTGATAAAGCACTTGATGAGCTCATGGATGGAGACATTATAGTATTTCAGAAGTAAGTAATATCTGGTGTGTTCATGTACACAAGTCTTGTGTGGTTGTTTCAACCCACTTTGATGCAAGGAAATTAGGTAGTTTCATTTTACACACCTCCACGTGAAATGGTTTGTGTAAAACATCCGATTTCATTATTTTTGATATTTTTAATATCCCTCATGTCCACGCCACAACTGGCACTGCCTTCCATCACTTCCGGAATATCGCCAGACTACGGCACTACCTCACCCCTCACACTGCTGAGACTCTGCTCCACGCCTTCATCACCTCAAGGCTGGACTATGGGAACTCTCTCCTCACCGGCCTTCCCGGCACCTCCCTCCACACTGCAGGTCATTCAGAACTCTGCAGCTCGTGTACTGTCCCGCACCAGGCTTCGCGACCACATCACTCCCACCCTCGCTCGCCTCCACTGGCTCCCCATCCCCCAGAGGATCGATTTCAAGATCCTCATCCTCACCTACAAGGCCATTCACGGCCTCGCTCCCTCCTACCTCTCTGACCTACTATCCCCCTACTTACCTGCCCGTACCCTCCGTTCCTCTGGCTCCGATCTGCTCCACATCCCCCGCCCCAACCGCCCTACCATCGATGGCCTTCAGCCCCTAGACTTTGGAACTCTATCCCCCAGTGCCTTCGCCTTGCTTCCACCCTTTCCTCCTTCAAAGCCGGTCTCAAGACCTTTCTCTTTGACCGTGCCTTCACCTCCCCTCGATTCTCTACCCCCTCCTCGCTCCTTCCCTCCCCTCACCCTGACCATTTCCCCCCTGCTCGGGTCCTGACCCAACTGTACAGCGCCTTGGGACGTCCTCCTGACGTGAAAGGCGCTCTATAAATGGAATCTTGTTTGTTATGCCGGAAATATATATTGCATATATACTATACTATATATAATAAATTATAATTATCTTTTCATAATGTCTTGACGAACTGTGCAGAGTGGAGGCCAGAGGAAGAAGTACACAAACAAAATAGTTAGGAAGCCAAATTGCTCTATCATATTTGCAGGAGGGAACTGGAGTGTTGAACTGTACCATTGATTTCATTTTTTTAAAGTGATATTTATTGAAAGAGATCCTTTAAAACTGACCGATTTGTATACTCGCTCAATGTAAATAGTGTGCTTCAAGGAAGTTGGTAATCCCTCTAAAGATGTAAATCTCCTCGTACCCGATGCATTTTATTCTCAATGCATTTTATTCATCAATGCATGGAGTTTTTCTCATGCACAGATGGAAATATTTCCATGCATTCTCTCGGATTTTGGCTGGATTTTTCTCGTGTTAATTTTTCCCTTGGAATTTTGTGCTTCTCACCAAATCATCTTTGACTTGGTCTTTTTAAGTTGTTATCCAGGTTTTCTATCCTCCTTGGCTGAAGATCATAGCTCACCCTAGAATACTCCCTAAGATATCCCTCCTGGTCCCAGGTCAAGTGGGAATTCTTGTGGGCTTGTTTGGGTGTCGAACTCTTGTCAACTTTGGGCATCACATCATTCCTTTGTCTGATTCCAGACATGCACTTTAGAGGAGGCGGCACTGGATAGTGATCAGCAAAAATGTTTTCTTCACTTTGCCCCTCTTCCAAAATATTTTCTGCTCAAGGACAATGTTATCCATTTTGAGTCGCAGAAGAAATGTATTCATAGCAGTTTTTGAGGAATTTTTATCTGAACAATTGAATTTAGAAAGAAGTCATTCAACATCTTTTAACCATGACTACTATTACTTGGGGTAAATAAAAGTAGGAGCAATAATTTGATTGGGCATTGGATTGTAACTTCTACACTTTTTGGGACAAATTTGATATATTGCAAAGTACAGTGCCACTTTTTTTCATTTTACATACATGAGATTATCTTGACTGAATTTGTACATCCACAGTGAGATAGAATTAACAGAAAAAAATCATAGTGGAGTGACTGCTTCTATCAATCTAAGTAATTATAAATAATGAAATTTGCATTGAGTTTAAAAATGAATAATTTCAATCTACTTTTGGCTGATCTTCAGGGACGACCCAGAAAACGATTCCAGTGAGTTACCAACTGCGAAAGATTATTTTCGAGATCTCTACCACCGGGTCGATGTCATCTTCTGTGATAAGACTATTCCAAATGACCCAGGATTTGTGGTCACCTTGTCAAATAGAATGAACTACTTTCAGGTGAGTGACCTTTTAAAATTCATACATGGATAAAAGTTAGAGAAAACCAAATTTTCCAAAGGTACATGAATAGTTTGAGTGTTGACCCAGTAATGGACAGTGTAAGAGGGATATCACTTGTAATACTTATCCAGAGAAGGATGACTAAGGGATTTAAACTGTTGTCTGATGTCGCATTCAAATTAAATCCATTTCAGTATTTAGTTTGAAGATGCACAGTTACAGTAATAGAACCATGGCTAGATGTGAAAGTATCCTGTGCTTGGGATTATAGATCAAAGCTTGGGTAATTACAACCGCTTAGTTCTGTATAATAAATTTTCAGATGGCCCAGCAAGATTCACATGTCAAGTTGTAGGGTAAATTTTATTTTTCTGGGGAAAGCTGCTTTTTAAATGATTTTTAAAATATATATTGTGTGTGTATGTGTGTGTATACATACATTAATACTATACAAGTTAACATGCCACTTCTGTTCACAGATGTATTTTGCACTAATTCTTACCTAGTTCCTTGGACACACATTAAACTGTGGGCTTAAAGCTGTGTTGTCATAGTTTAATTACAACATTTTCAAAAATAAAGCCTGGCATATTAAAATGCAAGGAATGGATAATCTAATAAAGTGAGCTCATGTCATTGTTTAAAGCCAGATTCTGAGCTTCCATAATGCTCATTAAGACACGGGGCAAATTGAAGTGCACCGTTTGTAGATATACTTGCATAATTGTGTAGAATGATGATCCTACTTTTGTTATATAGCGAATAAATGGATAATTTACAACTCTGCAACCAGTAATACGAGCATAGTTGGTTGAATTCTTCCCCTCTCTCTTCTCTTTCTCTCTTCCCTCCCCTCCCCATATCCGCCTCACCGATTTAAATTTACACATTTTTGGCATTGTTCGCATTTTCCAATCCTAGCCAATGTTTAGCACTATCTTGCAGACACTCCTTAAACAATCTTGGGCTGTGTGGGTGCTGGTTTAAATCTGCGTACTTCACAGCAAATACATTTTTAAATCAGAGCAAGCCAAGGCAGCTAAGACACGCAGCAACTTGCAGATTGGAGGTTGCAGTCTGCCTCCACCGCTACTTACATCTGAAACTAACAGTCTGTTGCTCAACAGGAAATAAATGAAACAGTGGTTAGTCCTGAGACTTGTCTGTTAAAAAGCATATTATACAAGTCTTGTCCTGCAGTAAATGAATGAGGCTCCAATAAAATGTCTGCCTAATCTGGACTAACTTTTTGAATTTCAGTGATCTCCTTTCGGCAGTCTGGCTGATGTAATATTTGCTCATTAATTAATCAGTCTTAATTCTTCATTATTTTAGCTCTAATAATTTGTTCTAAGTACTATGTTCAACACCTTAATAAAACCATTTGGTTATGTTTGTTGCTTATTGTGTTCTGATTTAAAAATGTACTTGCTATGAGGTACACAGATTTTAACCAGCACTCGCAGGATCCAAGATCTTTTTCCCCTATAGCTCTTGCTATGACATACATTTTTTGAAAAATATATATTTTGGTTTCCTTCATATTCTGTCAGGCACTCAACTGTGGTAATCTTATTCTCAGCTTTCATTGAAATACGTCTGCTAATGTTTGCTCTTCCAGAGATGAGCATTTCAGCACTGATCATCTAGTGACTCAAACATCACACTGGAGGCCAACAATAACTCCAAAATCCTATTCTCCACTGCCCACCACCTCCTCCATGCACCCGCTCAAGCCCCTCAATCATCACATCTAACGCTAAGTGCAAAGAGGTCATGGACTTCCTTACCTCTAAAATTGACAACATCCGCCTGGCAGCTTCATGCTTCTGCCCATTATCGCCTACCACCACCCCCATTCCATCTTCCTCACCCATCCCACCCTCAGCTCCTACCACGGCCCCCATCCTACATTCATTTGCCCTTGTCTCTCCTTCCCTCTTATCCACCATCACCAGAATGAAACCTACCACCTGCTGCCTTGACCCCCTCCCCACCCAGCTCCCCCTCCTCAGCCCACTGCTGGCAGACACTATTCATAAGAATTAGAAGCCACTCCCTTGTGTCTTTTATGTAATCCGTTAAACATGTCAAATTGATAGCTTTGATTGTAAAGAAAATATTCAGTAACATTTTGCGGTGTTGCTTTTGTTAGGTTGCCAAGACAGTTGCACAGCGGTTAAACACTGATCCAATGTTGCTCCAGTTCTTCAAGTCTCAAGGGTAAGACTAGGTTTCTTCTTAGCTGAAAAATATCTCTTGAAATAGATTTGCATCCGTGGACAAGCTTAACTTCTTGATCCTATCATGTGAGTGTTTAATGATGGGCTGTGCAGACAATAAAATCCGAGAATTTGATATATATTAGCTGCAATGGGTCTCGTATAGTCGAAGAGGTCCAGCTGGCGGGGCGATTTCATCTGCTCCCCCTCCTTTCATTTAATCTGGCCCATCCGCTCCCTCCATAACCTGAAATGTTACGTTTCTGGAAGGGAAACACCAAAATATTGTTTATGAGGCCCGCAGACATTTCTCAAATAGGTAATCCAGCCCTCAGCAGCCAGAAGGTTGCCCCTCCACCCCTCCCCCACCACTGTACTGCATTGTCAGAGGTGAGACATTAAACCGAGGTCCCGTCTGCCTATTCAGGTGGATGTTGAAGATCCCAGGGCACTATTCACAAATAGAAATTAGTTTATCCCAGTGTTCTGGTCAACAATCTCCCAAATAAAATTGGTCACTCACTCCTGGTAGTTTCAAGGACATTTACAGTACATCCTGTGAAGTGCTTTAAGGCCTCTCAAGGCGTTTACAGAATGCAAAGTTAAAACATATTTATAGATATATGTATTATATGTATAAGGAAGCCTCGCGTGGCTGAATGTGATGTCTGATTGTTATAAGAGCTGTGGAAAAACTTCTGGGTTGTTAGGTTACTACTGATATTTTTCATTTTGTGTTTTTTTTCATACAAGTTGCAGCAATGCAGAAAACACGTTTTGGGTAGAATTGCAAAGTTAAAGTAGCGTATCGTAAAGTGAATGTACATTATTGCCTGATCATTTCTCCATTCATAATTTCTTTCTTACTTTGTTTTCCCTGAAGTTTTCTATTTACATGTATTTGACCTTGCATTTGTGATCTGCATTAAGTTCTTTCGTGCAGCAGTGATTAACATTGCACACTTGCTTTTCAAAAAGAAACTGAAGAATTAAAGATGTTTGATGTTAAAGTTACAGGGATGGGCCTGGGAACCCTCTTAGACATAATTATGAAGGCACACTTAGAGACCTGTTGCAATTTTTCAAGCCAAGACAACCAAAGAAACTCTACTATCAGCAGGTCAGTCTTTGTTTGCTCAGCTTTTGTATTGTCCCTGTTTTCCCAACTGGGTGTGTTTTTTCTATAAAACTCTTTATCGGTAAATTAATGAATCACTTTATTTCTGATCCTCCCAACAACTTGCAGCGGAACAAATGTATTGCTGTTCTATTCCAATTTAGTCAGTCTTGAAACATGTTGAGTATGGCTACTGATTGATTTGTGTACCAATTATAAATCTTCAAAGCTATGAATTTTGACACAATTATACCTTGTGTAACTCTATATCAGTTTGTAGATGTCCTCGTGTTGAGAGGAGTTTGTTAGGCAATTTAAACCATGTCTAAAAAACCAATTGTCTCCATGAAATGTCTAATTTCTTCTCTCTTTCTGGTCTCTTTCCTATTGCCCCCACTGTGAAGTTGCTGTGAATTGGGTATATCACAGCAACAACAACAAAAAAATTACATTTGTATAGTGCCTTTCATATCAGGAGGACGTCCCAAGGCGCTGGACAGTCAGAGTTTTGGACCTGAGCAGAGATGCAAATGAGTTATGGAATGGGGTGGGGGGAATAGAGAGAAACTGCTTTGAAAGGAAGACTTTAAAATTGAATGAGTTGATTTTCTTTGAACCATTGATAGCCATACTTGGTGTGTTTTAAATAAACATTAGGTTAATATAAGGTATGGGTTCTGTATGCAGGAGAAGGCAAAGGTACCAAAGATGGAAATCAAATTTCAAACCTTTTAATCAACTGTGTCGCTCATAGAATATTATGGATAAATCTCATAATTTATAAGCGCTGCAGGGATCTGAAGGTTTGACTTCATACTCTTACCCATCCAGATTTGTGGTTTATGACGTGTGTAATTTTAGTGCACTATTTTCATCAGCCATAAATAATCTAGTTTTAATCTTAGGTATTTTTTGCAGATTTGACTGTCATTTTTCTCCAGTAATATTGAAAGATTATTTTTGCAGTTGAAAATGAAGATCACAGACTTTGAAAACAGACGAAGTTTCAAGTGTATATGGTTGAACAGCAGCTTTAGGGAAGAGGTAAGTTGCTCCTCTCAACACATTAAAATCTAATGATTTACAAGTTTGCATACTGAAGTCATTTAGTTGTGAAATGTTTTTGTTTTAAAGTCAGTTTCAACTTTAAAATTCAAAACAGTGGAAACAATTTTAAAATTGAGGATGCCCACAGTTAATTCATTGGCCCCCTGATTGCGTACAGTGGCATGTCACCAGTTCTCTAGCAGGAAAAGTTCCTTCAGAAACTTTGCCTCGGTATAAATGCTATCTCACTCAGGAGTGGGTTGTTTATCTGCTAAAAAGGATTACATTTCTGACAATCTAAACTACTGGAGGATCTTTTGTGTCGATCTTTTTTCCTACTCGTGCAAAAGAATTCAAGCATTTCCAGTGACTGACTTGTTTTTGTATAAGTGAATGTCTTTTGGCTGGCAGCCCATGATCCTGGATAACCCAGTCTCAAGGTCTTTCATTAGTTGCATGTGTTTATCCTAATTAATAAAGTTGCCATTGCTGCAATATTCAACGTGTAATTATGGTACTCTCTTAATTTCAGCAACTGCTCCAGAATTGAGAATATTTGTTAACAAGTCAGTTTTCACCCCAATGCTAACAATAAGGAATGCTTGTCCATAGGTAGGCAAGCGTTCAGAAACCCCAGGCGCCTCAAATCCTAAATATAGTTCATGCAATCAGATATTGTTTACCATTTCAGCTTTGAAAAGCACACCTCAGTATGTCTGGGCTAGTTTTCCCAAATCTGATTCTTAGAAAGTGACTAGTGATTGAGAACAGGGTTGGACTTTGATCTCTTCCCTGACACCCTATAGCTAAGTAATCTTTAGTACCCATAGTCTAGGATTGTATATAATGAATGCGTAGTTGTGTAGTTATTGGAGAGAAGCCAGCATATATGATAATCTTGGTGCAGCATGAGTCGACTCTTTTGTCTCAAACAGTATGCAACTAATCAGTAACCAGAAGTGCTTCATTGCTGCTGAAGACTTGTTACCTCAGGGATTAGTTAAATATTTTAGCTGAATTAATTCCACAACATTCAGCTAACTGACAAGGCCACAATTATCTTATAGGAGATAACACTATATCCAGACAAGCATGGATGTGTCCGTGATTTGCTGGAAGAATGTAAGAAGGCTGTAGAATTGTCAGAGAAAGGGTCCAGCAAACTGAGGTGAGTTGTGTGATTACTCAGCAATGCAAAGTAACATCAACACATGCCATATTGTGTTCTGACCATCAGGTCGTACTCTACGACTGTTTGTGCGACATTACTGTGGGCAATTGGCTACCGGGTTTCACCTACAAAATGCAGTCAGTCCACTTTACAATATATTCTGTGAAGCGCATTTGAGACGCTTCAAAGTCGTGATAAAGCGCTATATCAATTGTAATTGTTATTATTTTGATCGTTAAAAAAAACCTTCCCCATTAAACTGTTCAACCTTTAGCAGTTGACAAATGGTGATGGTTATAAGCAGTCAACGAGTTCCCGTGGCTGACTGCTGGGTGTTACACTTGGCATGCTTGGATCATGTGACTCCTTGTTTTTAAATTTATAATTAGCTGCTCTTGTAATTATTTGGCGTTATTCTTAAACAAATTAGGTACTGATTGGGCAAATAGTGCACCTTTTATTAAGCCAGTTACACTGCAGTTTCTGGGTTGATGAGATGCACTTTTCAATGAATGGAGAAACCTCAGTGCAGCTCCGATTTAAGTTTTGATGCTAAATCGGTGTCTGAAGTATGACTGAAGGCGGGGGTGTAAGAAACTGTCTGCATTCTACAGTAAATCAAAACGCATGACAACTCCCAAGAGTATTCTTGTCTGCTTTTATTACAGACTACTAGAAATTGTAAGCTACAAAATAATTGGAGTCCACCAAGAAGATGAGTTGTTAGAATGTTTATCTCCAGCAACTAGTCGCACGTTCAGGATAGAGGTACGTTTTGAAAATGACATCAAGCTGTTCCGTGACTTTATTAGCTTTCAAAAAAGATGTTGTCCAGTCAGTGATTTTTGAACCTATTTTTCGCTTTTCCAGGAGGTTCCATCAGATCAGATTGATTTTGACAAAGAGAATGAGCTGTTGATCCCAGTCGCACATTTCCACAAAGAGGTTTTTGGCACTTTTGGAATTCCATTCTTGCTGCGGATATCCCAGGTAGGATACCAAGCCTTATCACGTACCTCACAGGATGCCTCGCTTGATACCAGCTATTTACTATTTTTTCTTATTTATTCTTGATCAGCCGGGTGTCTGACACATGTGGAATTCCATCACCGTGCTTAAGAGTATCCAAACCAAACTGAGAATTCCATGCATCCCACATACACATGGACATCGCAGAGATAGATAGAATGGAATGTCCTAGAGGGACACATCCTGCTTACCTAATTCCAGAAAATATTAGGTGCAGGTTGGCAACAGCCAAGGCTTGGGGTCCCAGAGTGTGTGTTGGGGTACTGCAAAAGTCTAACCAGCGAAAACCGCACAGCTTGCCATTCTCAGAGTCAGGCTCCGCCACTGTTAAGCGCTCTTGAAACGCTACCCTGCATGGAGGGCGCTGTATAAGTGCTTGTTGTTGTTGTTTACATTTAACTTCATACTATCTTGCTGTTTTGCAAATTTTAGAGCGAGCCCTTCAGAGAGGTAATGAAACGAATTCAGAGCATGCTTGAAATCCAGGAGAAGGAATTTGAGAAGGTAAAGTAGTCTTTGGAATAGCAGCCTTTTTTTAAAAACATTTTGGTTTTGTTTCAAATGGGAAAAGCTGAAGACAATATAATAAAAACATTGCTGATAATAAAGGAGTATCAAAGGTCTGGGAAATTGATATTGTAAAGTGATTGCAAGGAAAAGATCTTCCTAAGTGAATGAAATTGCAGTACAGTAAACCTCACATAAGTCCCAATATCATTTGGGACCATACATTTAATATGGCTTATGCAAAGTATGAGTTATATCAAACTTGCATAGAATATAAACTGTTGACTGGGAGTTGGACAGATGTATGACTTGAGTGATCATACTATTTATACAGATCAGATTTGTGTGAGTTTTGCTGTGGTCGTTTGGTACACTTTATTCTTGCACTCAGCTGTTCCTTTGAGTTATTTAGTTTTAATGCCTTTTCTTTTCAAGTTCAAGTTTGCTATTGTGATGATGGGCCGACACCAGTACATAAACGAGGATGAATACGAGATCAACCTGAAGGATTTTGAGCCACAGCCCAGTAAGTATTTGGAAATTCACTGTCACTGTTGAGAATGAGTTGGTTTGAACATCAATGTACAAATGCTGTCAAATTGTCTGCAAATTTACAAAAATAACCTGTGGGGTGTAACTGTTCAAGAAAAATAATTCTAGATTAGCAGTGAGGGTCATCTTTCTGGGTGTTTTATATCCGTGACTTTTTTTGCAGAAGACTGGCCTGTTCCAGATTCTCTACAGTTAACTGGTAAGCTCTCGAGACTAAAGACAGTTAAACTGTGTGTGTGGACATGTCTGAGTGTTTCCACGCAAGCCTGTGTTCGACATAGTGCAACTAGACGTTGGTAACGGTTAGTTTCATTTTGGAGGAGGGTTATTTTCGTGACATTACAATAAATTTCAAGGAAATAAAACTAATTGCCAAACAAAGGAATTATAAGACTTTTTGACATTTCACTGACCATCCCAACCGATGCTTTGGAACTTTTCATGGCAACTGGAATGTTATCAGATGTTCATTGTAAATGACAATAACAAACTGGATTTTTGATGTACTTGTTTTTGTACTCACTGTTCATTTCCTGTTCAGCAGTGACAGATCATTTGTTCTCTATAAATTTACACATCTTTGGTAATGAGGGTGTTTGTCTGTAAATTTACTAACCTTTGGTGTGTTATTTTCTGGCGTCATATTCAAATTGGGCAAGAGAGGAATGAGAATCATGACTTCTAGTGTACTACTGGTTTACAGCTCATGTCTTAAGATCCACTAAGTGACTTTCCTGGTGCTCAGGAATGTTATCCAGTTACTAGCTGAGCCATTGCAGAGGAAAATGCCATTATTTTGATTTTGCAATCTGTGCTTTTGTTTTCTCATAACTGAGGCAGAAACAGGACTGCTTGTTGTTGGCCTCGGTGCCCTGTGATGGGGATAGGAATCAGCCAGAGCCAGGGATCTCGCTTCCTATCACTATCCAGAGATGCCTCTAAGAGCTTGTGTGTAGAAATGAAGCAATGAGAATAATGGCACGATAGGGTTTCACTACTAATTCCCAAGCCCTTTGATGCTCACTACTGCTCACTGAATAGCCATTTAGTCAGCAGTACTGCGGAACCTTTCTCCAATTTCAAGTGTCCACCTCTCCAGCTGCAGACTTCCAGTGCCCATCAAGTGTTGTGGCAGGACCCTTGCTCCACATAGATTCCATGAAAACGTTCTGGATTATTGTCATCATTATTGTGTGAAAATATTTGTGGTTTCCAAATGGAACCCACTCACATTTTGTGCCAGAGAAAGTGACATGAATTGAATTTTTGATTCAACAAGTTATGCCGATGTTGAAATCACAGACGAAAATGGAGAGTTTTTACCAGAAATGTCTGCTTTCTCTCTTAAAACTGAAATAAATGTACATAATCAGCAGCTCAAATCATGCTAAACCCTTGCAAACCATACAGGAGGCTGTGACTGTTAAAGCTTGTATCATTTGAGGGGAACTTCAGAGGAAATGCATGAATAGATTCATTCATCCCAAGAAGTGGGAAGAGACTAATCAGTTTGCTTTTATTTGAATATCTTGTGGACTAAACAGGAATTTGCCACAGAATCTCAATTGTTTTCATTGTATAATGTTTTGCAAAACGCTGAATTCTGCAAATTGAGCAGTTGCTGAATACATTTGATATAGTCTTAGCATTTGAGATCTTTAATTAGTGTGTGAAATCCCCATTGATTTCAATTTCACACACACTGTTGTGGAGATGAATCTCATTGCAGACACACTGGAGGGAGGGAGGGAGACGGGAATAGAAAGGTAGAGGTGCGGAAATAGGAGGGTATTGTGTAGAGTATAAACCAGCATAGACTAGTTGGGCCGAATAACCATTCTCCGTGCTGTATCACTGTAACCCTGAATGTGTTATAGCAAATGTATTTATCTCCAAATCATACAACACTATTCAAGACTATCCCACTTAAATTTAATGCAAACTTAATGTTACTTTACTCATCTTTAAAATGACATGACTTCTGCCCACTAATTGAAACAATGTTAATGTCGCTGTTTATCAAGGAGCTATATATGATTTGTTTTGGATAGCCGGGTGTCTGACACACATGGAAACCCACCACCATCCCTAAGAGTATCCAAACCAAACTAAGATTTCCAGGCATCCCACCTACACATGGAAATTCCAGAGATAGATTGTTGGAATGGAATGCGCTCTCTCTCCCTGGAGGGATGTATCCTACTTACCTAATTCTGGAAAGTATTAGGTGCAGGTTGGCAAGAGCCCAGGCTTGGGGAGCCCAGAGTGGAAGCAGAATCTACTGCTGGTTAGACTCCAACAGTACCCCAAGATAAATTTAGCTCTTTGAGAATAATGGAGTCCTGTAGCTCAGTGGTTAGAGCACTCGCTTTGCAAGTGAGAGACCTGAGTTCAATTCCAGGCAGAGGGCGAAACCTTGGGCAAGTTTCCTTACTCCACACAGAGCCTAATAATAATCCCTCCAAAACAAAACAATAATAAATTGGTCATTTTCAATCTACGACTGTTTGTGGGACATTGCTGTGCGCAATTGGCTGCCGCGTTCGCCCACAAATATAGTCAATTCACTTTACAGTGTATTCTGTGAAGCACTTTGGGACATCCTCCCGACGTGAAAAGCGCTATATCAAATGCAAGGATTATTATTATAATAAGGTGTCAGAATTTTACACGAGTTTAATTAAATCATCGCTGTTTTCCAAGTGTTAACTTTTTCCACTCTTGTTCCCAGGTAATATGTCTCAGCCAAGACCATGGTTAGGGCTTGATCACTTCAATAAAGCTCCAAAGAGAAGTCGCTATGCATACCTGGAAAAAGCGATCAAAATTCACAACTGACACACCAATACACCTGACTTAGTCAGCATTACGTGTCTTAAAAAAANTTTACAAGACACTGTGTGCACCCTTTCAACAACAGTAAAAAATGAACTTTGGTACATGTGCACCTTGTCAGAAGTCTTCAGCGACAGGATTTGCTGCTGATGCTAATTTTATTTTGTTGAGGCTGTTCAGTTTGGCTTCTCTGTAATCTATTGACTGCCTATTTTCCAGATGGAAAGATGAAAATGGTTTTATCCTTTTGAAAGAGCGTTGCAGTTGGGTGTGAATTCTTGCTTGTTTTTAGGTTTAAAAAAAAGATGTTGTGGCAGGAATATGGCAGCATAGTGAATGAAGGAGCTGAGTAGTAAGAAAACAGCTAGTCATTTGCTAAATGGTTCCATGCCTTTAGATAACCCACAGCAGATGGCATAGGATTCTCATCTCTGGTTGGCTGCTAATTGAAAGTGTCGTGAACAAAATACCTTCACAAGCGCTCGACGCAGCCGGCATGTTCATGTTTACAGTCATTTGGATAGTTTTTTTTCTTTATTTAGGTAGTTTGGATGAATTCAGAATTTTTGTGAATTTGTAAACACCTCCACCATTCACAGCATTAATAAATGGTGTCTGTACTTCATGTTGCACATTGTTGGCACTTAATATTAAGGAGATACATTATTTTCCCAGCTGAATGTGGTCTTTGATTTATTTTTAAACATGATATGGGTTTTTTGTTCATCCCATACTCTTTGTAGAACACCTTGGCAATAATAATAAATCCGTACTCATTGTATCCTGCCTGGTGCGAGTTTGTAGGTCTGGCTAAGCTTGTTTTATTTTGATGCTGCAGCCATTAGTATTTGCTGATGGTGACTGGCTGGAGTAGGCGGGGAGGGGTGGGGGGGGTTTACTGTGCTGCCTTTACTGTGGGCAAATGTTTTTAAACCGAGGAAAAGACGGTGGCTGGAAAAGGGGCAAAGTCGAAAAGTCTTGAACGTGTTCTCTTTTTGTCATGGTGAGATGTGAAAAATTATACTTGACAAAAAACACACACAGCCTTTATAGCACAGAGGGCATGCTCGATAACGTAAGTAGTAAGCTGTTGACTTTGTAAAAATTTTAAAAAATACACAAAAATTGTATATTTAATGATGAACATGTACAATTTAACACTCGAAGGATGAAATTCCCATGGGAGGAGTCTGCAGGTAAAGTCACTGATGTTGATATTCATTGCGTGTAGTTTATTTCAACCTTTTTTTAAAGCTAATTGCAGCAGCGTGTCTAGTTGAGTTCAGTAAATATAGAATCTGCAATTCACAACTTTAATTTCCCTTTCCCTCTTTTAAAAATTTCTTCACGTAGCAGTGTATGAAATCCTTTCCTGTATATTGCCTTTTTGCTGGATAATGTTGTATGTTGAATAAAATTTTCTATAAAAAAGCGTTGCATCTGCTTTGTGCCCTGACAAAGTGAGATCCCTGCGTTATTAGAACTGATTTTCTTTTTTGTTTGAGCAGTTTTACCTTTACAAAACGTGTTTCTGGATACACCTGCAGATTTTTCTGTATTGTTGAATGTTATAAAAGTAGATTTAGACCAATATATGGCATTTTCATTTCTTCCTTGATGTATCTTTTTTTGAAGGCAAAGTTTACACATTAAACACTATAGATCTCAAACCACCAGGACCTTGATGTAGATGTAAAACAATTGCTTTGCTCCACAGACGATGATTATACAAAGAGCAATAACCCATTACCTCAAGACAGTTAATATTTTATGTTAACGCTTTCCTTCCATAGCATAGGTAAGCAGGGCAGTATATCCCGTAAAATGCTTTGAAACTTTCTCCGGGCATTTAGAGTATTTATTTGAGTATTAATGTTACCTGTGGACAGTGTGGTGCAGTGCACACAGTGGCCACTTGGTGGCACAGTTGCGACACTGCCAAAGACAGAGATGCACCATTTTGCATTCCAAATGCACCAACGCTGGAAAAGTTTGGCTCAAACGCCGTCTCGGGTCGGGTCGGGGCCTTTGAAAAGAGCCAAATGTAAAATATTTACGCTATAAAAGTCGATGGGTTTTATCTTGTGGCACTCACACCTGGAAGCAGACTGATACGCCAGTCGCATCCAGCATTTGGTTAAAATTCAGTTTTCATTGAAGTGCACAAACATTTGATATAATATAATCAACAATAGTACTCTCGCTTTGACGTCAGGAAGAATTAGGTCCTTCCCATCCATGAAAATGCCTCATCAGTTTCCGTGTGCACCGAAGTCAGTATTTCAGAACAGCAATTTCTGAACTGCAAATGCCAGTTTGACCTGAGTGTCATAGGCTGGATTTACAACTTGGGAAAACACTGAATTCATACAATATTGTATAATACATACATACAATACATATTTTCATGCTGCAGGATTAGTTGTAAGTTTTATTCAAACTTGCTTTTATTAATGCAAAGGAAAAGAAGCAGAAAACAATCATAGAAAAATCCTTTTAGAAGGAACTGATAGATTATTGCCTTATTGCCTAACTGAGTTCAATTCCAGGCAGAGGGCGAAACCTTGGGCAAGTTTCCTCACTCCACACAGAGCCTAATAATAATCCCTCCAAAACCCAAAACAATAATAAATTGGTCATTTTCAATCTACGACTGTTTGTGGGACATTGCTGTGCGCAATTGGCTGCCGCGTTCACCCACAAATATACAATCAATTCTGTGAAGCGCTTTGAGACGTCGAGAAGACAAATGCAAGGATTATTATTTTTAAGAGTTTCCATTTCCTGTATTTCCAGGATGATTAAAGAAAAGTTCATTCGGATTAGAGTACAATGTATATTCCTCAATGACATGTGGTTGCTCAACAACTTAAAATAAGTGTCATCTGTTTCCTCTTCGTTTGATTGCATGTCGCAGAGAAGGAACTGACTGAGCACAAAACCCAACATAACATTCCACAATCACCACTGCAGTGAGGGGCTCTTTGGGGTATATTCCAATCGCATTGGTTTAAACAGTTCATTGTAAGAAGAGAAAGTGCATAATAGCAATACTTTCCCTCAAAACAAAGATAATTTTTGAACTGGAGACTGACATGGTTTATAAACCCAATTGTATATGGCTGTCTGCTACTGAGGTCAGTGGGTACCATCATAGGTCAAAGTCTAGAACTGCATAATACCCTGGTGCATTGTATTCCCTCCAATTAAACGGTCTAAAGGAACGTTATCCGAACAATTCCTATTAAACATTTGGACTGTTGATTTCCCTCGTGCTCCTGCGTGTTTAAAACTTGCTGTAAAGAGCACAATAGTTGTTGCTAACCTTTCTCTGGACAAAACAGGAGATTGGGTTGAATTGCAAGTGGAACATGTCAAACATATCAATATCTGCATCCTGCACGGTTTGCTTAAACTGTGTATGAAACTTCCTTTGTGTGTTTTATCTAAATAATTAGCTTAAAGAAATTTAAGCCAAGACATTCCTGAGACTTATGACTAGTTTTTGGTCAGCCGGGTATCTGACGCACATGAAACCCACAACAGAGTTTCACATATGTACACACAGAAATTTCCGTGTCTGAAGTGGAATGTGCACTCCCTTCTCGGGTGACGTGCTCTGTTTATCCATTCCCGCAGTGTGGTTGGCGCAGGCTGGCAAGAGGCAAGCGGTGGGGACCCCAGAGAGTGCAATGGGGTAACTGCTGGGAGTTTTAACATTAGCAGCTCAGTTACATTAAAATAACACAAAACTGAAAGTCCTGGACACAGGTTGTTAGGCACATGTTGGAGCGAGCCAAGGCTTGGGATATCATGTCTTGTTCTTGTCCAACACAACGATTGAGGGAAAATACTACTAACAAATCCTCCAAATAAAATTGGTCATTCAGTTCATGACTGTTTGTGGGACACGGGTGTGCAACTGGCTGCCGTGTTTCACCGGTAAAATACACTATCCTGTGAAGCACATTGCAACATCTCAACAACGTGATAAGGAGTGTAGTCCTGTAGCTCAGTGGTTAGAGCACTCGCTTTGCAAGCGAGATACTTGGGTTCAATTCCAGGCAGAGGGCGAAACCTTGGGCAAGTTTCCTTACTCCACACAGAGCCTAATAATAATCCCTCAAAAACAAACAATAATAAATTGGTCATTTTCAATCCACGACTGTTTGTGGGACATTGCTGTGTGCAATTGGCTGCCGCGTTCGCCCACAAATATACAGTCAATTCACTTTACAATATATTCTGTGAAGTATTTTGAGACGTCTGGAAGACGTAAAAATGCTGTAATCAAATACAAGGATTATTATTGTAAAGAATGGTAACCAGCACATGAATAGATTTTGCTCCAGCTTTTTCCCCACTTTTGTGGCCATTTGGTAGAAGGTTAGTCAGATAAAAAGACTTTTCCAGGTTTTGGTGTTACATGCAGAGGAAAGCTGTGAAGTGAAACGAGTCGTCAGAAAGGCACGGTCGTTTGAAAATAAGCCAAGGTGACTTTGGTGCTGATTTGGAGATGATGATGTGCCGTGGAGATGTGCTTCCTTCATTCAGAAAGACAAGGCTGGTGTCTCCTGGTATCCCGGCCAACTGTCCCCCAAATAAAAATGCTCACTCACTTTATGGCTGTTTGTAGAATGTTGCTGTGTGCAAATGACTGCCATGTTCATGATAACATTTATTTAGACCTCTCTTTGCCTCTGTTTATCCAGCAGTAAGTAGGATCCTTGTTAGTCGATTGGCAGGTAATAATGATCACTCAATCTACAACTGTTTGTGGGGACGCTGCTGTGCGCAATTGGCTGCTGCGTTCACCCACAAAATACAGTCAATCCACTTTGCAATATATTCTGTGAAGCGCTTTGATACGTCTTATCTCAACGATTCTGATAACGACAGTATATCAAATAAATGGATTATTATTATTTAGCTTTGAGACATTTTAACTTGATAATTCCACTACAAAAATGTTAGTTTTCCTATAAATACACTACACTTTACAGTGAATCCTGTGAAATGTTTTGAAACCATGTGGCGACCTAATAAGACACCATACCTAATGCAAGAATAATTTAAGTGTACAGCATGTGCTTAACTTTGTTCCTTGAAAATGACCCAGCCCTTTCTCTGTCCCTCACCGCTCCCTTGTCTGTGCAGCGCTGATAGTAAAGTGCTGGCTACACCACATTTGGTTAACGGAGGGACAGGTCTGATGGCCTCTGACAATTTTATCGAATGGGGTTGGGTCTGTTACCGTGTTGCACGTGATGTCAGAGGAAGATAGAGATCGTGTGAGACAGAGATGGCAGCAGGATGCCAGCGTTCAGACATGTTGTTCTGTTTACAGGAGGAGTTCCCAGTGGAAGGTTTAGAAGAGGCGAAGCCAGGAAGTAAAATATGAAGTTTTTCGTTAATAGCTAAAGATTGACTTTTTTTTCCACCGTGTAATCCAAAACAGCTATGTGCAATTGGCTCCTGTATTTCGCACACAAAAGACAAGCAATATACTGTTTAATATAGTCTGTGAAGCGCTGATGATTAGGACACACTGTGAAAAGTGCCCTGATCTGAGGTTCTCAGAAGTTTCCTGCCTTTGGTCAAAAACAACTGCAGCAGCTCCATTGTGTAGAACTTTTCACATAGGAAAATGTGTCAAAGTGCTTCACAGAGCCAGAGAGATCAGTCAATCCCCTGATGTAAAACAATCTGTAATCATCTTTGGATTGATTATAATAATAATCCTTGCATTTGATATAGCGCCGTATCACGTGTTGAGACGTCTCAAAGTGCTTCACAGAATATATTGTAAAGTAGATTGACTGTATTTTGTTGGAGAAACGCAGCAGCCGCACACAGCAGTGTCCTATAAACAGTCGTGGATTGAGTGACCACATTTTTTTTGAGGGATTATTACCCCCGGAAAGCAATCTGCAAATTGATTAACAACCGGGTTCCTACTTACTAACAGGCATGTGGAATAAGGAAAGTTGCCCAATGTTTCTTCCTGCCCAGGAATCAAAACTATGCTACGAGACAACAACACAATTTGCATTTATATAGTACCCGTTACACAGGGTAGGATCCTGGAGAACTCCATTATTGCCACACGCATGAGCTTTCTTTCCCCATACGATCAAAGATCCTGTTTTTTGTTCACCGGGTCTGTATATTTTGGTGCATGTGGGATGTGCAGGATTTAAACTTTGAGTTTTCATCCCAACTGGTTTGCGCCCAAATCTGACAGCGACAAACAAGTCGCTGGGTTTGTGCACCGAGAGAGAGTTGGGCTGGAGGTCACGAGGCTCCTGTTACAGTATCGGGATTTTAGATTTGTTGGATTGTTTAAACATCCAGCCTGAACCTGCCAACACACAGAGGAAATCACACGCGCAGGAGTGAGTCACAGGAGCTCTCACTACAAACATGTAAAACACATCAAAGTTCCAGAGACTGTGGCTCATTAAAACAAGCCGAGTGGCTGACAAGGCCACCTGGCGATCTATAACACATGTCCTGCCCATAATTCCCCCCCAAATAAAATTGGTCGCTCATTCCATGGCTGTTTGTGGGACATTACTTTGCACAACTGGC